AAATGATCTTCGGGTCAAATGACTATATTACCCCTGGTCAAAGTCAACTTCCAGTTGACTGGACTCGCCAAGTGTAACATCCCGAAATACCAAGAGTATAGTTGATGGGCAAAAAGGGGAAATTGGAAAAGAGGAACTCGGCGAGTCCATGGGTGGACTCGGCGAGTAGGGCCGTGAATTGGTCGCGTGTTAATTGGCCAACTCGGCGAGTCGGCGGCTGGACTCGGCGAGTTGGTGCTGGGTGAAGAGAACCCTAACCTTCGGGGTTTGCCCCCTATTTAAAGGATATTATGCATCCTTTTCAGCCTCTATACCCCCTGAGAGTTCCAGTGAACACCCCAAAGCGTATTAACTCCATTTTTGAGAGGATTGAAGCTTGGAAGAAAGGGTTTGTGAAGAGAAGTGAGTGGAATTCTTGGATAGCTTCAAGAGGGCTTGGAGATCTGGAGTCTACATCAGTTTAGGCTCATCTTTGGGGTAAGGATCCTCTATCTTGAGCTCTTTTCCCGCTTGTTGTCTTCTTTGGGGGTTTTTTTGGGGTTTTTGGGTGTATTTCATGAGTTATTCGGAATTGGAAGATGGATCTGAGGATGCTACCTCAGATCTTGAGTGGTGATGGTCCAAATGTGCATAAAGTCCCTATGTTGAGTGTTGAGTGAAGCTATCTTGTCCCAAACCTTAGCCCTAATGTGTATTATGCCTAGATCTTCATGGAATCACGTAAAGTTTGCCACTTTACGTGATGGATGGGTTGTAGGAGGCTAGATCTATGTTTTGGATCAATTGCATGGCCTGGAATGCTTATGTATGGATTCAGACTGGTGGTACTCGGTTTGTCACAAGGGTGGACTCGACGAGTTGCTTGAAGATGAGCTGGAACTCGGCGAGTTGGATGAACAACTTGGCGAGTAGGTTAAAGATAGCCTTAGACTCGGCGAGTCTTGTTGAAGAGTCCCAATAATTTCTGGTTGAGTCGAGAATCGGTGAGTCAAGGGATGGCTCGGTGAGTTGGGTGTGAGTAGACTCAGAGTGGTTGGACTTGGCGAGTCTCGGGGTGACTCGGCGAGTCAGGTCGCGGATTCAGGGAAGTTCTGAACATGGGGACTCGACGAGTCATCAGGTTGACTCGGCGAGTAGAGTCAGTCAGGGGTTGACTTTGACTTCGTCCAAGGGTTGACCGATTGTCTTCCAGGGGTATTTTTCCAATTAAGGATATATTTTGAGATTAAGTGTTTTGGTGTTCAGTGGAGGAGTTTGTGTCGGAGTTCGGAGTAGCGGGATCTTATCCTTTCAGCCGACAGTTTCGAGGTGAGTTATCCTCACTATATCAACAGGGTCTAAGGCACCAAGGCCGGCCCTTTATTGGATTAAGATTCGGATATGGTTATTATATTATTGTTTGATATGTCTGCATCCTGGTAGCTAGGATGGTACATGCTGGAGGTCTAGTTAAGGTCAGTTTCCCGATATGTAGAGTGATGCTATGCTAGTGACCGGTTAAGTCGGTAACCTGGTTAGGGTAATGATATGCTATGTGATCTACTTGCTCGGTTTGTTGACTATGACTGTTAGATGATTGTATGTTATGTGCACATGATTTTTTGGACTGGAGATGGGTTGAGGTGGGTCCTGCTTTGTGCTATAGGCCAAGATACCCAGGGTGGACCGGTTATTCAGAAGGCCCAGCGAGCGGTCCGGATAGGCTGTAGGCCCCACGAGGGCGGACAAGACGTGCCGAGGCTCGGAGAGTGGACCAGACCGACTGAAGGCCCGATACAGTCGGACCAGTCACACTGTAGACTCAGTGAGTGGACCAGGTGGGTTGAAGGCCCGGTGCGGACGGACCAACCACACTGTAGACTCGAAGGACATGACTAGACTCGGAGGATGGATCCAGTGTACTGAAGGCCCGATACGGCGGACCAGTCACACAGTAGACCCGATATGCATGGCTGTTCGATGTTCTGTTATGTTATGTATGTTTTATATGTTATGGGCCGGAAGGCAATATGTTTTGGACCGGAAGGTTGTAGCCTGGAAGGGTGTATATGTGGTTGGTATTTTGGGGGTATCTCACTAAGCTTTCGGGCTTATAGTTGTGGTTTCATGTTTTTCAGGTTCTTCAGGAGACTCTGGCAAGGCGAAGGTATGATCGTACCGCTCCTCATGATGTTGTAGCAATGTGATTTTGGGAATACTCTAAATGATTTGTATTGAAGACCTTTTTGTAAACAATTTAATGAAATCGAGTTGTTTTTAAAAAAATTAAATTGGTTGTATTTTTCGGTCGTTACAAGTTGGTAGTGATAGGCTAGGGATCTTCAGGATTTCATGATAGTGTTGCCTGTTATGTGACGCCTGTTAGCCTAGGGTTCCTCTATTCAGGGTTCCAGTGTTCCACTAGGAGTGAGGATCGAGCGCTTGCTATGTATATATGTTACTAGGGTGTTGCGGAAGTACTTCATACAAATATGGGTAGGTGTGGAAGGTAGTATGGGCCCGTACTACTGAAAGCACAGGACCCATACGCGTATCAGGGAAACCATGACCTCTAGGGTTGGGTTGGGAGTTTGTTCCCGGGATAGTGGGAAGTGTCTGAGATTTCTGGTGGTTTATTTTCAGTATGGAGACTTCAGGGCATGCTGGGAGTGGATCCGGGTCAGGATCAGGAGCATGAGAGGGAGTTCCGGGTGGGTCCGTACAGCCCGAGGTTGTCAGTCAGATGAGTACGCACGAGTTGGATGCGAGGATTCGTGAGATCCTACATGATGAGGTTGCTGCATTGTTTCGGGCCGAGCTGCCGGAGTTGTTTGGGTCGATCAAGACCGCCATGGTGGAGTATTTTGATGAGCGCTATGCGGCTCTCACGGAGACGACTGCCGCGGCGGCTACAATGGCTGTAGCAGCGGCAGGGGGAGGAGCTAGTAGAGGTTTTCAGTATCGGGACTTCGATAATACGAAGCCCCCCACCTTTGATGGAA